AGGGTCTCACAGGCCTGTGGCCGTTAGAGTAACTTCTCGTCACGCCCCGCTCTTTGGGACTGACATTGCCACACTGGGTCAGACTCAGGGAGGAGGAAATAGTGGGGAGGCAGTCCCTGGAAGCAGACGGTGGCAAAGGGCGGGAGGGAGTTCAGGACTCGCTTGTGTCACCTGATGACAGCCCTGGGCTCCTTGCGAGCCCTGTTTTCCCGTGGTGTTTGGAGACATGGGCAGACAGTGGCCGCCTGCACTATTATATGCGGGGTCAGAAAACTGCCGTAGTTCCCACGGGTGGATTGCCCTCCTCCCTCTCCGATCTGCTGCAGTATGGAGCAGAAGTTCCCACAATCGCAATCAGGACTCATCCGTGCTTTCACTACACATTTATTGAGCACCTACTGTGTGCCGGGCACAGTGCTAGGTGCTGGAGATACATCAGTGACTACCACACAGCCCCTGTCCTTGAGTTCACAGCCCATTGCCAGGGAAACACACATCAACATAAATATGGAACTGCAGGCAGCTGAGGCCAGACGAGGTGCAGCTAAGTGCTGCGGGAGCCAGAGAAGGGAGGAGCACCTCCGCTGCTGGGAGGTGAGGACCATCTCTTGACTCCTGCTTCCATTAAACCACAGAAGTTGTTGCCACAGGGCCCTGGTTGAAATGAACCTGCCTCACCCAGCCAGTGGCCTGAGGTGTTAAGGTGTGGTGGTCAAGGTGGCTGGATCCCATGCCAGGTGCATATGTGTGCGCACCCAAAATCCTGAGAGCAGAAAGGAGGAGTTGGGGTGTGGCCATCCTCCCTAGGGGTGATTTCTCACTTCTCCCCACTTTCTGGCAAGTACACACACCTTATAGTAAAATTTTTAAAAAATGAACCTGGAGGCCAGCAGATGGCATAACAGTTACATGGCTGGACTCCTTCATGGCTGACCGTGGTTCAAGTCCTGTACCCAGTGGCTTAATCTCACGCCGGGTGCGTGTGGGTATGTGCCCAAAATCCTGAGAGGAGAATGGAGGAGAAGGGATTGTGATGTGGCCATCCCCCAAGGGGATGTTTCCTTGCTTTTTGTCTCTCTGTCTCTCTGGTGAGCGCACACGCCCTATAGCAAAAGTCTTTCTAAAAAAAAAAATAAATAAACCTGTCCCTGTCCCTGGAAGCTCTCCCATAACCATATCAGCACAGCTTAGTTTACCAGGTTAGCTAGCTGAACGCATTGAGTAGGAAAGAAGCGGGACCAGGAGGGTTCTTTTGGGCAGAGGTTCTTTGAAGTAGTCAATAAATCTTGACTGCTAAGGTGAGGGGGTGAGAACAGGGGGACTATGAAGGCAGAGCCAGGGAGGGGTGAGTGCCTCACGGTTCCGTGCCCATCTCCCACCAGTTCGTAAGTGAGTTTCTCGGATGCGGTCTGCTCCAGAAGGCCCTGCTCAGCAGGTG